AAGAGGTATGAGACAAGCATCATGACAACTTGACCAGCCCCCACATGCCATACACAAGGAGTTTTGGCACCAATATGAACCGACATCTCACCATTCGCCCAAGGAAGGTTCCATGCATGTGTTAGCCGAATAATTAAGTCCTTTTCTGAAGAGATAGTTGAACCAACATGAAGACTAAGGGACTAGTTCATTCATTCTAATAATTATTCATTTTCATTAAGACATGTACTTTTCTGAATAGGCACATATCTATTCTACCAGCCCTCTCAACTCCTATAAATAGAGAGGCTTATTTTATTTGTAAACAACCTTTTGATAAATCAAACTCATTTTGTGAGAAATTTCTCTTCAATTTCTTTTGAGAACTATATCGATTAAGCAAGTATAACTCTTTACACTTGTGGAATCATCTATTTCACTTGATACATATAATTCCTAGTTTCCATAACTAGTGATGTAAGTCCTAAACACTGTCCCTTATTCGAGCTTGCAAAGTCTGGGGCTATAATCTCGATAGTATAGTTTCTTCTTTAGCTTGTCTAAAATACTATTTCCATTTCCATCTACCATCTTCATTATCATTCACTTAAACACCTATCCATCAACATCATCCTTCATTGTCGTGCATACCATTGCTTCAAGGACATATTCAACAATATCTTTGAAGGCCTCCATTGACATACTTTTTCCTCAGTAACTCTAATCATTTCTTCATCCTTAATTCATTTCATTTTTCTATTTTTGTTTTCATCATTATCATCATTACTAATCCATTTAATTATCCTTATTATCTTGCAGCCATACTTATTGAATCTGGAGTAATATTTGCTATCATTTCCTAGATCGGGACAACAATAAGATTATCTATCATCTTGTTCATTCAGGGCATAGATAGGCTTACTTCATGTACTGATGTAGGCTCTTCATATGATAGAAGATCGAGTTCTAGTAATCTTGGGCAAAGAGATAAATCTACTAGCACTTAAGATTTTTATGCACTGGAACAATCTTCATATTTTCAACCTGTAACCCCCTAGACCCAGCCTATGTGTTTCGACTATGTCTAGCAGATTACATTAAAGATTCTTAAAAACATTCCCCAAAAATGTTATTCGTTAATATAAATCATATTTCAAATGACATTTATAAAAGTATAATAAATAACTGTAAAACCTAACTCTTGAGTATAAAACTAAAAGAGACCCAGAAAAATAAAACATAAAATAAATCTAGAGCATCGTAGATCAAATATCAGTAGCAAAAGCAGTAAACATCATAAAACGATAAATACTTCAAAAATAAGGCACATGTCACCATAATTAAAAGCAGTTCGGAAGACAAAATATTACAACAAAATGATCTGAACTAAATGTACCAATTCTCTAAATGCCTGATACGAAGTGTCTATTCGAGAGTATCTGAAAGGGGGTAAAACAGTTTGAAAAGTGAGCTAGAGGCTTAGTGTGCCCCAACAGTGCAAAATTAAAAACATACAATTATGATTTTTTAAAACCAGTACATATCACAGTCATTAAAACATCATATGCGATTTTAATTTAAAAACTCCCAATCGTCCTCCAACCGAACGCCATGTGCAGTTCCCCATAACTACACAACCTAAGGGAGTACCTTGAGGCTTACCCAAGATAATTTCCGGGGCCACAAAGGCTTACCCAAGAAAATCTCAGGGCCGTAGAGCCTACCAAAGGGTCACCTTAGGTCCATAAGGAATTACCAGTCGATGTTGAACCTATTCGAGGAATTACCAACAACGACTGAACCTGCTAGAGTCTTCATACCAAAACCCAGAGTACCCTGAAGAAAACATTTTTCAAACGGTAACCAGTAGTAATAGTAATTCAGAGTTTAGACATATCATCAGTTTAGTAAACCAGTATCCAGAAATCATAAGTTGGGCAATCATGCTTTACATTTCAGTAAATCTGGAATTAGGTAAAACATATAGTAGTCAAATCAGATCAAATATTATATTTCAAATCAGAGAAAACAATCATGTGCACATGAGATTTTAAACAAATATTTAAAACATTTATACTGCACACAAAGAACACACCTCGATAATAGGGTCAGTCCGAAAGATCTATCAAGCACCAGCTTCACTAGGCTCTTCGACTGAACGAGAACCTAAGCCATATCAGAACAAGGTTATATTTGGAATAATATTCAACGTAAAATAACTAACAGGGTTACAGAACTATACGAGTATTCACGGCCTCTCGTGGACGAGCGGATTGGGAGGAACCGGGTCGAGCAGTGAAACAGTCATGAGATCCCCGAGTACCTTTTAACAATAATAACAATAATTAGTCATTGACCATTCAGTTCAATTAACTAAATTAAAACACTTATATAAATATGCCTTTTTCGGGTTTACGGGTCAATTCAGAGGCTTTCGGGTTTGAATTTGGCAAAACGGTCTTCCGAATCAGACTCAGAACGTCAAAAGACATCAAATATGACTTTTCAAAAATTTTAACTTTTTTGTCAGTCAAAGTCAATGGGTTTGACTAACAATTTGGAGGCTTTCGGGTTCGAATTTGGAAAATCGGACTTTAGAATTGGACTCATGACGTCAAAAATCATAAAATATAATTTTCCAGAAATCTTAACTTTTTTGGTCAAAGTCAACGGTCAACGGGTAGGGCAATCGGGTCGGACCGGGTCGGATCGGTCAAACGGGTCAAAACTATTCCCCCATTTACGAAACTTCCCCACACGCAAGGGCGGTGCATGAACAGTCGTAGGGCGTCACAAAAATTCCAGAACTAAAATTATTTTAAGGGATTTTTAGACACTTACCAAACTCGGTTCAAAATTTTGAACGACAGAGATCTCACTTTCTAAATGTCAAAAACTTTAACTTCCTCAACTCCCTCACGCACCGACGACAACGGAGACAAAAAGGGCATCGTGTACTCGGAATGACACAAGGAACATGATGGTGCGGGAGGTGTTGAAAACGGAGCAACGATCGATGATGAATCCACAATTTTCACGGCGGTGGTGTTAAAAAAAGTCAAAACTTTGAATCGAAATTCATGGTGTTAGACAACGTTTCGCTACGAGCGGTTTACTGGGTTTTGTTCACCGGTCGACGACGAACCAAATGGGAGTGGTGGTGCAAGTTAGAACGGCCGGACGGCGACGGAATCGGCTTTGGAAGGAGGGATGCGGGGGAGGAAATGTTTTGTGAATTTAGTTTCTGATTTTAGCAAACATAAACCAATTCATGCATATTTGAAGTGTCTGTCGACACTAAATGGTCAAATTCAAGGATAGACCCCTAAATTTCCTTCAACTTCTAAAATGGCCTATAAGTTCTAAAAAGTTTTATTTTGACCCTCAAATTTCACCCAATTGATTAAATTATAATTAATTTTTTTTCGGGTTATTACACAACCTTCACATGGTTATCCACAATCATATAATTATTATCCATCATTTTTTAATTATGGTGTGTCATATCAACCTCAAATGTATTTTTTCATCACCAATATATCACCCACCTCTACTTCTCATGTATCATCTTCCTCATATATATCATATGCATCAATTATATAGAAATCAAGGTGAAAATATTATATTTTTTTGATAAATACCACTGGAATCAACTCAAGAAGGCTCTACTAATGAAGGTGAAAGATCTAAATCTCCTTGTCATTCTACGAATTGGTGAAAATTAAGTTCTTGCTTTATCACTTTTTATAAGGTATAGATAAATTTTTATTAATATGTTTAGTTTTAATTATATTAAAATATTTATATCTTCCTTCTCAATTTTAATGTTTAATGTTTGATGTACCATTATCATTGTTGCAGTAAATTGGACTTTCTTATATTTGTTCAGCTAAATTAAGCCTATGTATTTCATTAAAATAATGTCATTGAGTTTTCCAAATACATCTATTTAGACATGTAAGTAATTTGTTCTTTTGCATTTTTAAAATTTAAAATAAACATTTTTTCTTTGGTAACATTTAATTGTTATATTGAAAATTTTATGCAACTCTCATTTTATGTTGAACTCATTTTTAAAAGTCATGTGTCTCGAATAACATTCAAATTGTTTACCTCATTTCTTTGATCAATGTCCAATTTTCAACATAGAATGTTTTATTTGTTTTATTATTTTCAAAGCTGTTAAAAATATTAATGGCCTCTTTTAAGTATGATTTTAAATTATTTTATTGATACAAACTTACAAATTTTTAAATAGGATGAATGTTTAATCTTTTGTACTTGTTTATTTATTATGAGTTAATATAATATTCTAAAAAAATTTATAAATAAATACAATAATAATTAATGATTGTAAAAATTGTGTTCACGTATTATTAAAAGTTTATAAGTATTAGAAAACACTCTAAAAATCATTAAAAGTGATTTTTTATAATTCTAATTCTAATTATAATATTTTATAATAAGTTGTGCAAAATTTTAAAAAAAATTCACGTTCGCAATACACGCACCAACCATGATAGTATTTGTTACGTCCGCAACCATGATAAACGTAAAGCAACTGAAAATGCAATTACGACTGTAATTTGAATCCCTAATTCTTCATGCTCGAGTTAATATTAATCAATTGAAAAATATTGAGTTTCTTATTTTTTTAAACTCAGTCGCTCAACCGTGTTACATCAGTCTTCTATTAATGGTGGAACAGTTGTTTTCGGTCGAATGTTGTATTTATTACAAAATCAAAATGACTGTTTCATTACGTTTGAAAATTCAGTGCTTAAAATGAGAATTTACTCATTCTTCAATGACCATTTATGTCGTTTATCCATTATTTTATTATAAATCGCTAATATTACTGATATTCTATAGGTTTTAGAAGTTCATTGGTGAAAATAGAAACTTTGTTAAACTTCACTGACATTGCGCGTAATAAATCCAAAGTAAAAAGAGCCCGTTTAGTTATATTTTCTCGGATATCTAGTACATCCCTTAGGCCTCGACTTGATGCTATTTCATCGCTTTGCAATTCGCTCCCATCTTTTTCAGACAACAAACTTTCACAATTAATCCATGCCAAAATTCCTCAATTTTTCACATAATTAGCTTTACCAAAAGTTTCATTAAACCCCCCAAAAGAATACGATAAAAGGCATTTTCTTTGTCTCAAGAATTTGCAGTTTCAGTTGAAATCCCCAAATTCATTCTCCCGGTAAGCAACTCTTAAATTTTCTCTTTTTTTGTTGATTTTCTCGATTGGATTACGAATTTGAAAATGGGTATTTTTCCTGATGAAGTCATTCTTCAAATTCTCGCGAGATTGCCTGTAAAGTCCCTTTTTAAAACAAAAACTGTTTGCAAACTTTGGTATAGATTAGTCTCAGATAAGTATTTCGTGAAACTCTATCATGAGGTGTCTTCTAGGAACCCGATGGTTTTGATCGAGACTTCGTTTTCGATGGAATCGAAATCTAGCCTGATTTGTGTCGATAATTTTAGGGGTGTCTCTGAGGTTTCGTTGGGTTTCTTGAAAGATAGGGTTAAGATTAGAGCTTCATGTAATGGCTTATTGTGTTGCTCAAGCATCCCGGATAAGGGTGTTTACTACGTTTGCAATCCTATGACTAGAGTGTCTAAGTTGCTTCCCAGGAGTAGAGAGAGGCCGGTTACTCGGTTTTACCCCGACGGTGAAGCCACGCTCGTCGGTTTAGCATGTGATGTATCGAGGAACAAGTTCAATGTTGTGCTAGCAGGGTATCATAGGACGTTTGGTCATAGAACCGATGGTACTTTCATATGTTTGATATTTGATTCTGATTCGAATAAGTGGAGGAAGTTTGTTTCTCATCGAGAGGATCATTTCACTCACATGAACAAGAACCAAGTTGTGTTTGTTAACGGCGCCCTTCATTGGCTAACCAGTACGTTTTCTTATATACTCACGCTCAATCTTGATTACGATGTTTGGAGGAAGATTTCTTTGCCTGATGAAGTGAGTTACGGGACTGGGAATCGGGTTTATTTGTTGGATTCGAGTGGACGCTTGTCTCTGATTCAGATTTCCGATGCGTGGATGAAAATTTGGGTGATGGAAGACTATGAGAAGGAGCTTTGGCATATGGTGGATGGGGTGAGTCTTCTATGCATTCGGGGACTAGTACCTGGCATTTTCCCCATTGCTCAAACTGGTGAATGTATTTTCCTGGCAACTCACAAGCAGGTCTTGCTGTACCATCGCAAGGGCAGAGTGTGGAAGGAGATGTACTCTGTTAAGAACAGCGCTACCCTACCGTTGTGGTTCTCGGCACATGCATTTCGGAGCACAATTTTCCCTTCTGATTAAGGTGTATTCGACATATAACGAACTTCTTCTGTACATAAATAACTCTTTTCGGACCTTGCGAGTTGTACATGTCTTATTTTGAACTCTTATCATTTAGAATTCAGTATATGCAATTGTTCACGTGAACTACTCGTTAAGCTGTGTGCTACTCTTGTATTGGGGTTCTTGAGTCATGCATTTCTGATTTTAAACTCTTTGCTTTTTTTCATGATCTTTTGTTTGTACATAAATAACTCATTTCAGACGTTGTGATTCATTCATTTCTGTTTTGACACTCTTTTCTTTTATCGTTAAAAAATTGTCATATGCGATTATTCATATGAACCAGAACAACTGAGCTGAGTATGCTTCTGGTTTCATTGAATGGTAGAGAGTTTTCCTCTCTAGAAAGCAAAATTAAATCAAATATCACTGCCAATTCTTTATCCTTTTAGTCATTCTTTTTGCCAGAATGGTTAGTAGTTCAATTATTTTTAATTTTCTAGACATGTTTGATTCGTAGAGTGTAATTATATTTTAATTACTTATGGTTGTTTGATAATTCAAATTGTAATTCAATAATTTTATATTTTAAAATAATATTTGATATTATAAATAATTATTATTAATAGTTAAAACTTTAATGATTGACCTAGCTATATTAATAATTCCATATCCATGTAAAACTAGCTTTTATATCGATCGAGAAAGATATATATATATAGAGAGAGAGAGGGGTTTAGATTTACTTATTCCTACAGTTAAACTTTTAGTTTTACAAAAGTTTTACTCTTTTCTAAGATCATTAGATGAGGGAAATAAAAAATTGAGATTAATTATTTTTTTCAGTGAATATATTCTCATTTTCTACTGTTAATCTTAGTCTTTGATCTACTCTCATCTAACGATCTTAAAAAGGTGTAAGACTTTTTAGTTTACACTATGTAATTATATATAGAGAGAGAAAATAACCTCAGCGACCGAAAATGCCTTATAATATACGATTTTAACCAATTTTTTTTTTGGATTTGCTAAAATGACCAACAAATTCGTAACCCAGGTTCCAAATTCGCAACGCGATTTTAAGATTTGCAACGCGATAGTCGAAATTCGCAACGCGATTTAATATTCGCAACTCGATACTCCAAAATCACAATGCATTTGTTTCTTAAGAATTTTCTCTAAAAAGATAGTATCCGCGCGGACGTGTCGAAGACACGTATGACCACTACCACGATCACAACGGGACGGGACGGACGGCGGCGGCGGCGGCGGTGCGCGAGAGTCCCCCTTGTTCTCTTTCACTCAACAAGAAAGTGGAAAATCCAAGCCTTAAATACCCATTCCCAATAGTATTTCCAATACTATGTGGATTGAGTATTACCAACACTTTTTTTCAATGCTAAGTTGAAACATTTAATATTTAACATTTGCAAGTTGGAACACATTTAACCAAGTGAACATCCTTTCGGTGGCCAAGATAATTAAGCTGGAACACATTTAATCAATGCTTGAGAAGGCAATGTACTTGGCGAAAGTTGGGTTAAAAGAAGATAAAAGAGATGATGTGAAGCAAGAGTAAGCACTTCGTCGTGTTCCCCCGACGATGTCGCCATTACACCATGTAGCCAACACAAAAGACATTTGATTAACCCCAATGTGTTGTGTACATCCTGGCACGTAATAATGGAATAGAATCTTATGTTAAAAACAAATATCACTTAAATATTGCAAAACAAACCAAGTTTTCCCAACTCGATTACAAATATCACTTAATTATCTTCGCCACCGAAAGGATGTTCACTTGGTTAAATGTGTTCCAACTTCCAAATGTTAAATGTTTCAACTAGCATTGGAAACAAGTGTTGGTAATACTCAATCCCACATAGTATTGGAAACACTATTGGGAATGGGTATTTAAGGCTTGGATTTCCCACTTCCTTGTTGAGTGAAAGAGAATAAGGGGGACTCTCGGGCACCGCCACCGCCGTTTTGTCTCGTCCCGTCGTGGTCGTGGTAATACGTGTCTTTGACACGTCCGCGCGGATACTATCTTTTTAGAGAAACAAATGCATTGCGATTTTGGAGTATCGCGTTGCGAATTTCGACTATCGCGTTGCGAATTTTGCGAATTTGACTTTCGCGTTGCGAATTTGGAACCTGGGTTGCGAATTTGAGATCGGGTTGCGAATTTGTTGGTCATTTTGACAAATCTAAAAAAAGTTGGTTAAAATCGTATATTATAAGGCATTTTCGGTCACTGAGGTTATTTTCTCATATATATATATATATATATATATATATATATAGTGACAAAGTAAGGATCAAATATTGAGAAGGATAAATTATCTAAGTTCAAAATAATAAAGATTCATTAAGTATTTAATTTTAATAAATAAATAAATAAATATGTAATTTGATTTAAATTTAAATTGGTAAAGATTTAAAAATCTTATTAAATCAAAATTTTTAAAAATAATAATAGCTAGGTCTCACTCTGTATAGTTACGCCAATGTATACACGCCTGAACTATTAACCTAGTTATTTGTGAATTGTGATATAAAAAAAGCAATTATTATGTTATATATGTAAAATAAGTTCATGTTTTGGTAAAAATACTATCCGCCTTATTATAAAATCCAATAAATTATTATCTAATTTAAGTTTATGTTCTCGTGTAATTTTTTATCACCGAGACCCAAGGATTAATGTGCAGTGCACGCGCTTAAACTGACTAAATCAAGCACTTAAACCGACTATAAAATACAACATTCGCTATATGTAGTCTCTCAGAAAAGGATCCATCTCTCCTTGTATCTCTTGGCACTCCTGATATTATTCCTCAGCTTCTCTCTTTTCATTCCCAAGTTACCCCTTTCTTTCTTTCACTTCGAATTGATTTAGGTTTACTGAAATTTTGAACTTTGGTGTAATTAGTTTAATTTGGTAAATTTCCCAGACTATGTTAATATATGTTAGTTGAAGCTGATAAAAATGGGGTAAGGAAATCTGATGTGGAACCTCGTTGAACCCTGGTTCATTTGATGCTGCACTTTTAGCAGCTTGTTCTACGCTCTCAGCTATGAAATTCATACTCGATGGCCATGGGAATCTTGCTCATGCATTGGTGAGGCCTCCAGGTCGCCATGCTCAACCTACACGAGCCGATGGGTATTACTTTTTCAACAACACCTACCTCGTCGTTCAATTGGCTTTGGATCCGAGATGTAGAAGGGTTTCGGTTGTAGACAACGATGTTCAGTACGACAACGAGGCTGCATAGTTCTACCGGTAGGATAAAGTTCTTACAGAATGCAAATGATCTCTTTTCATCTTTTGCATTTTTAATTAATATATACAACAAATGTAGAATTTTGTTACTAGTTGAATTGTTTGGCTCAGTGGTTTAAGCGTGAGCTATTTTATCCTTGAGTCATAGGTTTAAGTCTTCTTTAGGCCTTTTATTTTTCATTTAATTTTCCGCATAATGTGGTGGTGACACCACCTTATTGGTGAAAATTTTTTGGATTAAAAACTATTCTTCAATCCGATACTGACATGTATGTAATTGAATTAAAATTATAGTAAATTGATAGTGTGTGTAAATATTGAGAATCAAATATATAATTATACAAAGTTTTCTAATTACCACGTCACCTCCTCCGTTAAAAGTTAACGGCTAGTAGTTAATTGAATTATTTAAATAGTTGGGTGGTCTGAATGATTAAATCGAAACATCAGTGGTCAAAAATGAAATCTAAGAATAGTTAAGTGGTCACTAAGGTAGTTCATCATAAAAATTATCAATAATGCTTAATAAATATCAAATTTCTAAATATTTAATCATTCAAATGTGTAATTGAATTAAAATTAGGCTAAATTGATAGTGTGTGTAAATTGAGAATCAAATATGTAAATATACCAAGTTTTTTAACTACCACGTCATCTCCTCCATTAAAAGTTATCGGCTAGTAGTTGATTGAATTATTTAAATAATTTGGTGGTCTGAATGATTAAATCGAAACATCAGTGGTCAAAAATAAAATCTAACAGTAGTTATGTGGTCATAAGGTAGTTCACCGTAAAAATAATCAATAATGCTTAAAAAATATCAAATTACTAAATATTTAGGCATTCAAATGTAAAATTACTAATAAAAATAGGAAGAAAAACAAACATCTAAATGAGAAGTAAAATTTGTATCAAAATCAAAAATTATTTAAAATATTATTAGCTGCATGAACCAAGTGATCTCTGTAGTAAAAGAATTGTTATTATTATTTGAGTATCTGAGTTCGAACACCATAGATATCAGGAGTGTGAGCGTTCAATGTCGAATGATTAAAAATTATCGTTGAATATATATTACTTTGTACTTGTCCAAATTAATAAAAAAACATATTATTAGCTTTATTTTTATTCCATTGACTATATTATAAAATATATTAATATATAAATCAATTCACTGTCTAATGGTTTGGGCACTTCTTTGCGTCCCCATGTCTTATGTTCAAAACCTAATAGTAGGGATGGACATGGGTCGGGTTGGGTCGGATTTTTGGTCCACCCGACCCGAGAACAATGACCCCTCTACCCGAAATTCGATCCGACCCACATAATATATACCCTCCACCCGACTCGAACCTGAGTCAACTTTTTGAATAAAATTTGAATCCGACCCGACCTGAAATAATAATAAAAATATTATTTTTGTTCAATAAAAACAATGATTTAATTTAAAAATAATATATATAGAGGGCTATTATTGTAATTATTCCTAAATATATGAGGTAAAATTATATTTTTTCCGAGTTAAGCCGGGTCGGGTATTTTTCACCTTAAATACAAAATCCGACCCGAACACCACCTTTAAGAAAACCCAAGCCAAACCCAATTTTTTTTAAAAAAACCCGACTGGATCGGGTCAGGTCGAATCGGAACCCGTTGGGTTCGGGTCCCATTCCCATCCATACCTAATAGCACCATTCAAGCAATTTGTTTCTATCATAGATTAAATATATAATTATATTAAGTTTTTAAATTGTTCTATCATCTCCTTTGTTAAAAAATAACGATAAATGATTTGATTGAAGTATTTAAATAATTAAGTGATCTGATTAATAAAATCAAATAGTTGAATGGTCATGTGAATAATTTACACTAAAATAAATGGTGTTATAAGAGCTACAAAAGTGATTAAATCTAGTTTTTATCAATATAAAATATTTTGTTTATTTTTATTATATGAAACAAAAATATAATATTTAAAATTAAAATTCATTCTTTAAATATTAATTATGAATCAATTAAGTGAAATAAATAATTAAAATTAAT